TGAGTAGAAAATGGAAGGCCAGAGAGGATATACTTCAAAAACAGTTTTACTCACCCAGTGCAGAAATTCAAAAACATACAACCTAGTCCTTTTGCAAGTAATACATTGGGATATTCTTAGCTATTCTTTTGCAAGGCCATATCAAGGATTTCAGTAAGACAATTATAAAAATAGATGACTGATTTGCTACCTTTTAAAGAGTGTGGTATAAATGCAGAAGATGGAATAGGTGCATAGCATATATTCTGGTAATTGGGAATAATTAACACTTTAATCATTCTGGGTAGGACAGATAATGTGAAGTTACCAGATACCAGGAGTAAAAAATGGAATTCATTGATTTGCATAAATATACATATCTCTTAATGTTATTACTGTTTTTCAAATCCAAATAAAAATGGAAACAAAAAAACTTGCAGATTTTATTTTTTCACAATAAATTCCTTTTGCAAGTATTTTTTCAATTGTGGAATGATTTCTGAATACTTTTTTTATTATTATTAGTATTTCTGAATACTAATACTCCAATAAGGGCTTATTAGAGAATTCATCACAGCTTTTGACTAGAGTTGACTCTCAACATAAGCACATTTTAGAATTGCCAATTCTATTTGGCTTCTTTAATTTATCTAGATATTCTTTATAATTGACAACTATTTTATAGTTGCATTAATACCAGAGACACACAGGGCAAATTATATTAGATATCAAGTGTATTTGAAAGTAATGTCTATTTTTAAAAGGGTCAATGTTTCTACCCGTTCCCTTCTTTTTTTTCCTGTTTCATTCTGATTTTATGTGTCATCAATATTTTTGCATATAGTTGTGAGGGAAGTGCTTCAAGTGGGGAGGTGATGTGATAGACTACAGTGAAACAGCAGTTTCCTAGGAAGGAGGAAGCACATTCTAAATAGGTGAGACAAGAGGCAGTACAGCCTAGAGCTGGATAGGAGACAGAGGAAGGGAGTGAGGATAGCCATTTCCTAGAGTCTCTCAGGGTATATCCATTAAGATGAGAATAGTGAAGTTTAGTCTGGCAATAGTTTGTCTGTTGTGTATAAGCAAATAAAGAAGTGAATTCTAGTTGGGTTTTTCTGTGTCATTGAGTTAAACCTGATAATAGTTTGTCCTATTTTTGATTAATTTATCAAATTTATATGGCTGCCCATCTCATGGTAATGGACTGTGGGCTACATACAACAATCCAATAACATAATAAATATAAAGCAATTGTTACCTAAAGTCATTATAAATAATTACTAAAACATTAAAAACTATAAAAAAGAACTAAACAAGAAAAGAAAAATAATAGACAGAGAGAGGTCAGCAGTAACAGAGCCATCTCACAATTTCACCCAGGCCTGCTGGCAGAGCCAGTCCTGAAGTACCTTTGAAAGCTTAGAAGTGATGTGATCTATCTCATCACTTGGGAGAGAAGATTCCACAACGTGGGTCCCGCAGCAGAAAAGCCCTGAAGGATAAATCCTGAAGGATACCATGGCCAGTGGTATCAAAAGCACCTGAGAGATCAAGTAAGGCACAGATAGATGCACCACCACCATTCTGTCCACATCAGAGATCATCGAAAATCATGACCAATGCTGTTTCTGTTCCATATCTGAGGTCTGAAACTTGATGAAGGATACAGATAATCTACTTTATCCAAGGTCCTCTGAAAGTGTTGTGAAACCACTTTCTTGATCAATCTCCCCCCAAAGAGGAAGTTGGATACTGGGCATTAGTTATCCGTTATCAAGAGCTCCAGCAATGGTTTCTTGAAGAGAGGGTGAACCATAGTCTCCTCTAATGATGAAGGAACAATTCCCCCCCTCAAAGAATAATTAAGTATTGCTAGGATCCATTCAAACAACACCCCACTCCCCCAGGCTGCTTTCACAAGACAAGAGGGGCATGGATTTAAAGGGCAGGTGGCTGGGCTAAGTTCTAAGGACTCTTCATTTTTTCAGGTCTAACAGGTTCAAACTTTTCCTAGATAACCAGGTAAGACTCGACCCTAAGCCTCTCCTTTGGGCCTGCAATTAGGCCAGCATCCAACTGTGAGCAAATCTGAGTGATTTTATTTTATTTGAGCAAATTCCTCTTCATGTCATTGCAGAAGATTCTCTGACCCCATTTACTCAAGAGGGCTGCGTCATCTGAAACGGGCTGCAGTTTGCGGTTTCAATAAGAGTGGAGAATTATTGCGGCTTTGCCACCCTTATTCCACCAGATAAGCTTAATAGCAGCTCTAAGCTGTGTTTGGTTAGGTTCACCCTTGGTTGAGCACCAGTGGCTCTCTAAATGTCTCTTCTCCTTTCATTTCTCTCATTCCCTCCGTAAACCACAGAGAGTGATGAAATCCATGAGAAAGGAGGGGGTCACATACAATAGGTATGATCCAATCCAATGCCTAAGATGTGGCAACCAAGACTTTGAAGGACTGTGCAATAGACCAACAAGAACAAACCCCAGCTCCCCCTGAAGCCCCTCACTGGGGGTGGCCCATCCTGGTGGGCCCAGCCTCACTGCAATGGATTGCAGTGCCCAAAAATCCATAGTAATCAGGATATGATTTGACCATAACAAGGGGAACACTTAAAACTCCCATAGGCAAAGATCACATAGCCATTGCTCTTGACAGGAACACCAAATTTGATGTGTGACCTATATCACGCTCTGAATGACTTGGAATAGGCCCATGGTCATCATGGTGGCCATGAACTCCTGAGCCGCCTTACTCCCTTCTTCCAGGAGGAGACAGATTGAAGTCCCCCAAACCTGGGAATTTCCATTGCCAGCCTGGTGATAGGGTCAAGAAGCTCAGGCAAGGAAGTTGCCATGGAGCAAGGAGGCTGATACAATAGCAACAATTCCAACTGATTCTCAGAGCCCAGCTTAAATGAACAAAATCTCACATCCATGAATCTGTGGAGCAGCACCTCTGAAAGTTATACGTGATTTTCAGATGACACTCACCACTCTACCAAATCTGTTTAATTGATTTTGAAGTTACAGACTATGCAGAGTACGATGCCTCTTCTCATTTTTTTTTTTTTTTTGCCTAGCTGGATCTATGAGAATGTATGTAGGCCTTTGAAACCTCTGCACAGTTGCATTAGGAAATGAATTCAGCTGTGATAGGAAGATCAGAAATAATTTCTGAAAATGAGTTACCAGTGTTGTCCTTGCTCTTTAAGGTACTTGACCTACATATTATTCAAAGAAGAGTCATGAGGACAAGTAATATTAATATTCTGTCTATCATAGGCATCAAAGAAACTTAAGAACTTTGTGTTAAGAAGCTGCTGATATTCCAGAATGTCAAAATCACAAAATTCTTTTACTTGTTGGTTCTGATAATGCCAGCCCTTTTGAAGTATAGTTGGCAAGTTAAATAAATAGAAGTGGCAGGAATTCCAGAAGGCTCTGGAGTGATGTAAGGTGGAGTAACAGTATTGTAGTAAGGTTGAATGACTGAATCTTTAAAGTCTGCCCAAATTTCTCTCTGTTCTCATCCAAAATCTCATCCAGTCTGTCTCTATTCCCCCTCATGGTACTTATAAATCTTGATAAGAGAAGTAGCCTGTATAGCAATTTGCACTATATTGTGGACAGCACAGAGTATGAAACTTATTTTATATTTCCTGCTCTTAGTTTACCATCAAAATTAGTATTTATGTTATCAGGATTAAATCCATTGTTGTAAATTGTGCATGCCAGCAACCATACCTATTTCTTCCTTTGATATGGTAGATTCATCATCTAAAAGAGAAATACATTTCAAAATATTTACTTTCAATATTTCCTCACAATAAATAAACAAATTACTGTGTTTATAAACTATCCATGTTTTCTATTGGAAGCATTCATGGATATAGATATGTTATGACTCCCCTTTGAAATTCAAACGAACAAAACAGAAAGCAGCCGTTTCACAATTAAATCAAACGGAAAGAAGTCTTACAAGATAACGGCTGGCAGAAACCACAGCATAAATCTTTACTCTGTCTGGCAAACCAGTCCTGGCAATAAATCTCCTCAGAGCTTCTTGCTATAACGTCTTCACTCAAATAGTTATTTTGTTCCTGGCAAAATGTACCAGCCCAGCTGTGTCCTTTTATACTCATTGAGGCAACGTGCTAATTTACTGACTTGCTCTTCTCATTCGCTCCAGCTGATTTTGCCTTTTCAACCGTCTTCTATTTTTTACATTTAACCACAAATTTTCCAAGTTCTCATCTCCACTAGAAGACTCTCTCAAAACTTCCCTGTCAGCCATTCCCGGCTGTTGATCAGATAAGGAACCAGAGGAGGTCAAAGGTCCTGACAATTCTAATACATCAGGTCTGTCGTCCTTTGTCACGTCCATCTCCTCATCCTGGTTATCAGTCCAATCAGTAAGCCAGGCCGGCTCATATTTGTCTGCGATGACCTCTTCACTTGAACTCATATCAATCACAGGAGCTGAATCCAAGCCCGGAGCCACAACATAGATATATAATTAATATTGTCCATGTCTCTTTTCAGGCCATCAAATACATTATTTTTGTTACTGTAGGACCACAGTAGAACTTTTTCATTTTTTCAGTTTTTTAATTAAAGCAGAAATTGGGGGCATTGGCTAAATATTGTGCTTAAGAATCATAGTGTATTGTCCATGTCTGCATTATTTTTAAAAAAATGGGCTGAGGAGGCTGGCTGTGATTCTTCTGTCTGAACATTGTATTTAGGACACATCTTTCAGCAAATTGCTTTGATGAATAGTACTGTAGAGATTTCTGGGCATGAATGTATCAATTTTAATGTATTAGAGGATTTAATTTTTAAAACCAGCTTTGCCCAGAAAAGCATCCCAGAGGGTCTCTGCAGCTTTTATATGTTTGTGAAATATCCTGTTTACTACAGCTGTGAGTAGAATATACCAGGAACAAGTGCAAATGCAAATTATTACATTTCAATAAATATGTCTGAATAAATTTCATTGGCAGATTCTCTTGCTTAAGTTTATATGTAATGAATGGACATCTCAGAGGAATCATATTTGTATCAATCCCATTCATTTCTACGAGGCCTGTACAGGAAAAAAATCTCACTGTTCTCTTTTGATCATTATTAGCTCTAGGCTCATCTATAATTTGTAAAATTTGATGAATATGGTTATATTAATTTGCATTTAATTGAATAATTGAAATGTGCATTTTATTTAATAATAAAACCTGCACTGTTTCTTTCTTGATCCTCCTGCCCACATTAGATGGGCATGATTTTCCCCCAAATAAAAGAAAGTACATCTATGTTTATCTCTGCACCCTTTCCCCCATAGAAAGATTGGAAGTTAATATTTGAAGGGCTTTTCAACATTATTATAGTTATTGCAAACACTTCCTGTTCTCTGCTGTCTTCTTGCTTTATGTGCAAAATGTTTCTACCTCAGACCATTCTAGTAGATGACCAAAAAGCAATAGGCCCTGCTAGCCAACAGGAAATGGAGTAGAGGAAAAAAACAATACAGGAACTACAGTTAGTGATTACCAGATGTAATTTCTGTTCAGAATCTTTTCTACATTGCCACTGCCAATTGTCCCAAAATGATTGGTTTCCTGTGCTGTAGCTCATGCAAATCTTTTGCTGGATTGGTTCCTGAAAATAGGATGTTTTCTTGGATTTAGGGTCTGGGGGCTACCTGATTCATCTTTTCCAAAACCAAGACTGCATAATTTTTAAAAATCTGGTCATTCAAACTTGTGCATTTCAAGATGGGGTATAGAATGTCAGACACATGAATCAAGAAAAGTTTGAAATTATCAAAGAAGAAATAAAGGATATTAAATTAGATGTGTTAGATGTAAATACAGGCATAAGAACTTACCAAAGAATCAAGTGGCAGGGATACTCAGAAATAATATCATTTAGTATAATATCAATGTAAATATATACATGAAATGGACAAGAATATTAAGGAATTCTATAGCAAATGGCAAGAATAGGGAATGTAACGTAAAAAATTTTTAATACTACTAGTTGGAGAAATGGAAGAACCTGGAATCACAGTAAGATTTGGATTGGACAAATCCAACAATTCAGAAGTTGGAATAGATTTTTTGTAAAGGGAACCTTGAGGTACTTCAGCTTGTGAAATAAGCCATGACTTATTGAAAATACACAGGATAAGCTTAAACAATTAAACAGAAAATGAGACAGTTAACATGGTGTCATCCAGTCAGAATATAAATTCTTTGTAAGGAGCAACATTAGTACACTTATACAAAAGAGAACCTAAACCATAATGGGAAAAGATAACACGTGAACATGAAAGGTTACAGGCATAAACATCCCCAAGATTTCAAATTTGAGAAGATCAAAACGATTTCCAAAATAAATTATGATAGCCAAGAAAACATGTAAAATGAGAGTAACAAAATGTAAAACAAATGAATATAAACTTCCAATATGAAGCAAAAAAGTTTAAGGAATAATATCTCATTCAAGAATATTACAAAAAGAAAATAATAAGAAAAGAAAAATGATAAATGTTTTTAAAATATCAGAGAAACCAGGGGGGAAATGCAGCTATGATAGGAATATTCAAAAGTAATCTGATAGAGACAGTTGAAATTTTGTTTTAAATGGAAAGACTATACTGGAGCCTTTTACAAAACTTTGCAGAGAGAAAATATGTTCTGAAAGAAACTCCACTAGAAAGTGAAATACAGTAGGTAATAAATCTATTGTCAAGTAGAAAACCAATAGATAATAGATGAAAAATCCATTGAACTATTTAAAGCTACCAAAGAAGAGGCAGTTAATCAGTTCTAGACAACAAATTTAAATTATAGTTTGAGACCTAAAGATTTGAAAGTAATAGTGCATATACCTATACTCAGGAGGGAGATTGATTTAAGTATGTATTTAGATTTACGTGCTTCTGGGTAGCTTTCCTTAAGAAGAACAACAATTAGGATATAAGAAGATGTGCAAATTAGAACAAGTCAGGGTGCAGGGAAGGGAACCACACCAATAAGTTTATGTTGTAAAATTGCAAGCAAGAAGCCACCCATTAGAACAGGGGTATCAAACTCAAAGCCCCTGGGCCGGACTTGGCCTGCAGGGTGCTTAGATGTGGCCTGTGGGGCCACCCTGGAAACCGAACTATGGTGCCTCTGCCAGTGAAAATGGAGGTTCGTTTTCTCTGGCAGAGGGATGCAGGAAACTGTCACAGCCAGAAATAGAGCTTGGGAGCCTGCTTTTGCTGACACAGCGCTCAGGCCACCACAGGTGCTCCCGACACAAACGATGTTGAGTTGGCCACGCCCACCATGGCCTCCCAAGGTCAAACAAAATCCTGATACGGCCCTCAGTGAAATTGAGTTTGACACCCCTGCATTAGAAGGACAAAGACATTTAAACCTGGTGATAGGACAGAGAGAAAGCAGGACTCTTTCCATACCTCAGTATGAACAAATATCATCAATCCATGCCTTATTTTGGTTTGTTAAACAGGTAGATGTTTAGACTGGATTTGACATTTTTATTTACCTATCAAGTTGTTCCCAAGGATCTGGGATAAGCAGGTGTTGTTGTTTGATAGTGTTAAAGATAGTGTTCCAAGTAAAGTTATTGTTTGTTCCAAGTAAAGCTGCCTTCTGCAATTGACTGATGGTGATATTGTCAATGCCAATGATATTCAAATGGTGCTCCAGATCTTCTGGGATTGCCCCCAGGGCACCTATTACTATTGGTACTCTTTGCTTCCTTTTACCACCATCATTTTATTTTATTTGTAGGTCTTTGTATTTTGTGATTTTCTCTAGTTCTTTTTTTTCTATTCTGCTGCTTCAGGTACTTTTGCATCCATTATCCAAACTTTTTTGTCTTTTTTACTTGCAATTGTTAAGTCTGAGATGTTACGTGGCAGGTGCCTGTCTGATTGAATAATAATAATAATTATTGTTGTTGTTGATAGAACAGTCAGCCAGATGTTCAGACTGACTTGTCATCTTTATCCACCTACATTATTAATATGGTTCATTGCACAGTCAGCTAGATGTTTAGACTGGGTTTGGTATTTTCCCCCACATATGAGTCCTTCCCAAGGACCTCAGATAGACAGATGTTGTTTAATAACACTAAAAGTACCATTGGACTAAAATACACACATGGTTGGAAAAAATGATTAAACAACATAGAGATTTGAAACCAGAAATATTCCTATTAGGAATGATACCAGAAGGTTATAGTAAAGAAAAGATTTACTTAATTATATATGTTTTAACAGCGGCTAGAATTGTATTTGTCTAAAATTGGAAAAGTGATAAGATACTGATAGAGGGAAAAATAATTGAAAAAATATTTGAATGTGCAAAAATGAATAGATTGACACTAGAAATCAAAGAAAAAGAAGAATCTGAATATTAGATGGTATGGGATTTGTTTTACCAATGGATAGAAAATAGAATAAATTAAAAGGGGTTGGATGTATTCATAGAGCAATTAGAGAAATTAGTGTAATAGACATATTTGATATTATTTACATGAGAATGTGATTATTTTTGTTTTGTTAGATTTGATAAGGAATCAAGGTTTCCAAAAAGCTGGCAAAGTCAGGAGCAAGCTAATTTTATTCCCTGAAAGAAAGTTGCCAATTACATTGTTTCAGAGTTAAAGCATGCTCCTTCTCCAGAGGCTTATTTTTTGGCTTTCTGAAAAATAAAAGTGCTTAACTTTTTACCATGTTTTTAAATAATACGTGCTTTTAAAATGCTTTCAATCTGATTTCCCCAAAATGTGTTTTGATATTCAGCTAACTTTAATAGCATATCATATCACAGAATTTTTTAGTAAACAGCCTAAGGGAATTGGGAATTAGTCCAGGACTTCCCACTTAAACACAACCAGAAATAAAATATTATATCTCTCTCATTATCAGACATTACCTATAGATCTATTTCAGACACACTATTTTTCTGGTCTCCTAATAAGCACTCATGCTGCCTCTTTTAGGCAGGTATTTCCAAGCATAGGTCAGAGAAATCCTGTTTCTTCTGAGAAAATATCTCATTATTTGCTTTCTTGCTTTTTAAAGTGGGAAAAAACTTCAGTAGCTTTTCAGTATCATTTCAGTTTTCATTTATCATTTTGGACAGTGTATCCTATCTAACTCTGCAAGGATGCTGAGGACTGGAGGGCAGTTGCCTGATGCTCACAGGTGCTATGAAGCCTGTGATACCACTAGATGGTGCCCACTGACTCCAAAATGATATGTTGTTTTATATTATATTTAATTTGTACTTATTTAATTTTAAAATGCTCACTTTTATTTTTAAAGAAGTCTTACTAGTTTATGTTCCTGCATAAATCTTTCGCCATTTAATAAATATTTATGTTTCGGAGGCTTTAGCATTGCAGAAAATCATATACAGTAGCAATGTCTATCCTAATATGTACCAGCCAGAATACTCTTCTAGTAAAATCTAGAACTTTAAAAAAATTGTTTTCCCCCTCTCTCCAAGTAATGGAACTTTGACTTTGGTTATAGAGTCTAGAGCAGGGGTCGCCAACCTTTTGGACCTCAGGGACCACCACACCCATACTTTTGAACCCTGCAGACCAGAGACGCTGGGAAAATCACCCAAAAAATTCTGCAGGAAAATCCCCCACCCCATTTTCCTACCAATCAATTGTTCTTTATTTGGGATTGCAGGATACCATCTCCAGCTCCGTTCTCAGGGGGAGGGAGGGAGGGAGAGAAAGACTTTTGGCTTCATGCAAGGAAAGCAGCAGGAGCAGCAGAAGTCTTTCTTTTTCTCCCCCAAACTCTGCCAGGAATGAGCCTCTTGGAGTAGGATGCCTTGCAGGGTCCCAAAGACTCTTTTCTGGCAGAGTTTGGGGGAGAGAAAGAAAGACTTTGGCTGCTTTTCTTGTGTGCAGAAGAAGAAAGAAGCAGAAAGAAGCAGCCTGGTGGCCAGGCTAGGTGCATGGGGCGAGTGGGGAAAGTCCCCCCCCCGCCCTTTCTCCCCTCCCCTCACTACCTCATGTTGTTCACAGTGCAAGCGACGCAAGCCTTGTGTTCCCATGGGCCATGTGGGCGGCGCAGCCTTGTGTTCCTGCGCAGCCTGGATTAATTGCTTTGGGGGTGACATTTCTCTGCGGACCACCACAATTTTCTCACGGACCACCAGTGGTCCCCAGCCCACCGGTTGGCAACCACTGGTCTAGAGCAGGGGTATTAAACTTGAGTTGTCATGTTGCCATATGATGTATCACAACTTTTTCCCCCTTTGCTAAACCAGGGTGGGCATGGCCAGCGGGTGATGCATCCAACTCATGGGCCGTGAGTTTGACACCCCAGGTCTAGAGTACTGTTATACAATCTAAAGCAGGATGTCAAACTTGCATCATCACATCATCGTCACATGACGGATCACAACTTTTCCCTCTTCACTAAATTGGGCATGGGCGTGGCCAGCATGTGACACATCTGGTCCACAAGCCACAAGTTTGACAACCCTGATCTAGAGCATTGGTATCCAAACTTTCGGCTTGCTTGAGCCACATTTTGTAAAGAGGAATTGTCTTGAGTCGCATATAAAACGTATAATATAGTCAATGTATATAACTCACATAATGTTTCAGGTTTACGATCTTATGGGACCACATTACTAGCTATCTAGGCTGCATTCAGCCCATGGACCACAGATTGGACACACCTGAAGTTACTTGATGCAACTTATGGATACATCTCAAAATGTAACATGCTTTTCTCTCATGAACTGTAGTAGTGGGAGGTGCTTCAGTCTCTTCCTAGTTAGGCTGGGCTTAAATGTGAGGACACTTCTCCTCCTCCATGGGACTCCTCCTTAGCATCCCCAGTTTTAGCTCAGCCTTCGTAGGAACGGGGCGTTGGTTCTTACCTGATACACTTCTTTTCGTAGAGCTGCATAGAGTGTCCAGGCTGGGAGGTGCTCCAGTCTCGGCTCTCACAGGCTGAGCTTGAAATTGAGAAACGCCTCTCACCATCACGTGGTCCTCTGGGCGCTCCCCAGTTTTGCGAAGACGAGAAGGAAGGCCCTGTTCTCATCCTAACTAAATAGTGTTAGTTTGCTTGGCTGAACAGTGAGGTTCCCCACCAGACGGACTAATGGGTGGGGCTGGACACTCTATGCAGCTCTACGAAAAGAAGCGTATCAGGTAAGAACCAACGCCCCTTTTCCATAGAGCTGCTACGAGTGTCCAGGCTGGGACATACCAAAGCTTGGCGAGTCCTGCGGGCGGGCTCCCGTCTGGGGTGGAACCTCCCCTGGAACCTCGAGGACCCGCTGAAGGACCCGCCTGCCAAAAGAAGCCTTGGCGGATGCAAATACATCAATCTTATAGTGCTTGATGAAGGGAGATGGGGATGCCCAGGTGGCAGCCCTACAGATTTCGATTATGGAGGCTTGTGTGGCCCATGCGGCAGTAGTAGCCGCACTTCTAGTGGAGTGGGCGGTGATACCCATGGGAACGGGGAGGGACTGTGCCTGGTAGGCTTTGGCAATGGCGGCCCTAATCCAGCGACCCACGGTTGTGGGCGTCACCTTGTGACCGAGAGAAGCAGGTTGGAATGACACAAATAAGGCCTCTGACTTGCGAAAAGGCTGGGTGCGTTTGATATACGCTCTCAAGGCGCGCCTTACATCAAGGGAATGCCACTGTCTCTCCCTCTCTCGAGAGGGATTGGGGCAGAAGTTAGGGAGTATGAGCTCTTGAGCTCTGTGAAATGCTGTATTTATTTTAGGGAGGAAAGTGGGGTCGGGGCGGAGGACGACTCTATCAGAGTGAAAAATACAAAGGTCCTGTCTAATGGAAAGGGCTGCCATCTCCGAGATCCGACGAGCGGATGTGATGGCCACAAGAAAAACAGTCTTGAGGGTGAGAAACTGTAAGGAAGCCTCCCTAATGGGTTCAAAGGGGGGCTTAGTAAGAGCGACCAGGACCTTGTTGAGGTCCCAGGTCGGAAAAAGGTGTATGGTCGGGGGGCGGAGATTGGAAGCTCCCCTGAGGAAAGTCCTGATATGGGGGTGATGGGAGATGGAACCCCCAGTGTCCGAGGAGACAACTGTTGCGAGGGCAGCGACCTGACACCTTAGGGTGTTGGTAGACAGACCCTTGTTAAGGCCCACCTGAAGGAAGTCCAGGATCTGAGCAATGGAAGGAGAAAGAGGGTTAATTTGAAGCTTGAGGGCCCAAGAACGGAAGGCGACCCACGTGGCATTGTATATACGGGTGGTCGAGGGTCGTCTGGCTGCCAGGATGGTGTCTATAACCTGGCTGGAAAATTTCTGTGCCTTTAGGCGATTCTGCTCAACCTCCAGACGGCTAACTGGAGCCATTGGTGTTTCGGATGTAGCAGAGGACCCTGGGACAGGGAGATCCTGTCTGGAGGAATCCTCCAGGGAGGGGCCACCAAGAGGTTGCGGAGGTCCGCAAACCAAGGGCGTCTGGGCCAATAGGGGGCTACTAGAAGAATCTCTGCCCTTTCCAAGATCAACTTGTGTATCACCCTGGGGATGATGGAGAGGGGGGAAAAGGCATAAAGGAGCCCTGGAGACCAAGGGCAACGGAGGGCATTGTGATTCTCCGCCCCGTGGGAGGGATATCTTGAAAAAAACCTCGGTAGTTGGGCGTTGAGGGGGGATGCGAAGAGATCCACCGTGGGGAGCCCGAAGATTGAGGCTGCTTCCCTGAAGATAGAGGGGTGGAGGCGCCATTCTGCTTGGTCCAGAGTGGCCCTGCTGAGCCAATCTGCTTGAATGTTTAGGGTCCCTGATATGTGATCTGCCCTGATGGAGGCCAGATTCGATTCCGCCCAACGGCAAAGACGTTCGGCTTCTCTCATGAGCCTTGCTGACTGAGTGCCCCACTGTCTGTTGATATGTGCCTTTGTGGTAACGTTGTCTGTGAGGACCAGGACGTGACGTCCGCATACCTGGGGTAGGAAGCTGCGAAGCGCCAGGTAGACAGCGTGAAGCTCCAGCCAATTTATGGAGCAGAGTTGCTCTGTTGACGACCATTTGCCCTGTGACGAAATGGAGAGGACGTGAGCGCCCCAGCCGAGTAGGCTCGCGTCCGTGGTGACGGATAGCCTGTCGGGTTCCTTGAAGTAGTGACCCTTGTTGATGGCCGGCCTGGTCCACCAAAGGAGGGACGTGAGAACTCTTGGAGGAACTCTGACCCGGAGTCGCGAGTTGCTCCTTCCTGAGCGTTGATACGGCAGCAGAAACCATTGTAGGGACCTGGTATGGAAACGGGCCCAGGGGATAATAGATATACATGAAACAAGCTTCCCCAACAGTTTAGACAATTCTAAAAGAGAAACTGTTCTTGCCCTCCTGACCTGTCTAATGGATTGTTGGATGCTAAGCCACCTGTCCGGAGACAGGAAAACCAATTCCCGGGCGGTGTCGATCACTGCCCCCAAGTGAGTGAGTCGGGTAGAGGGGGAAAGGTAACTTTTCCTCCAATTAATCATGAACCCATGATTTTGAAGGGTGTTAAGGGTCAGTTGGGTATCTCGTTGGGCGAGAGCCCTAGAAGAGGAGAGGATGAGTATGTCGTCCAGGTAACAGTGGAGCCGGACAGGGAAAGATCGCAAGTGGGCGGCAAGGGCCGCCAAAACCTTGGTGAACAAACTGGGGGCGGAGGACAGACCAAAGGGAAGCGCAACGTATTGGAAATGTTGTCTATTGTAAGAAAAGCGGAGAAACTTGTAGTGGGAGGGACGAATTGCAATGTGTAAATATGCCTCGGAGAGGTCAATTGAGGTGAGCCAGTCCCCTTGCCGGGTTCCCGTAAGTATAGACTGCAAGGTGTGCATCTTGAATTTGCGGGGGGCAATGTAGCGGTTTAGTCTTTTTAGGTCTAGGATAGCCCTCCAACCCCCAGAATGCTTGGGCACTACGAACAAGTGGGAATAGAAGCCTCGCCCCCGTTCAGATGCGGGGACGGGCTGGATGGCCTTTATGTCAAGGAGGTGGCTAATGGCAGCCTCCATGAGAGCCCTTTCTGCAGGGGTCCTGGAAAGGGGGGAAGACATGAAGAATTCGGGAGGGGAAGATTGGAACTCGAGTGCCAGGCCGAGGCGAATCGTGTCCCTGACCCATGCGTCGGTAGTGATGGCCTCCCATCGATGGGCAAAGTGTTTGAGGCGGCCACCTATGGGGAGATTTGCATTAATGAGATCGACGGAAAGGTCTGTTTCCGGATCCCCGGAAGGACTTCTTGAAGGAGGCACCTCTTCTGGACCTGTCGGACGGATCCGACCGGTCGTGAGAGGGGGGGTTCTGTAGGAGGGTTGGGAGTATCTGGGGGGAAAGTAGGCATGGGGGGAGGGGCGAAAGGAGCCTCGGCGAAGGGAGGGAGAGGGACCTCTGGAGTCGGGCCTCCGAAAAAGAGAGGGGAGGTACTTGCGGTTGTTACGGGTCTCGGCCAGGAAGGGATCAAGAGCCGGTCCAAAAAGTTTCCCCCCAGAAATGGGAGCTGAGGCCAGCTTGGCCTTGTTTTTGACGTCCGCTTGCCAGTGGCGGAACCAGAGCAAGCGGCGGGCGGTGACCTGGGACGAAATGGCCCTGGTGGAGAATTTTGCGGCTTGGAATGTGGCGTCCGCCGAGAACTCGGCCGCAGCCATGAGGTTAGCGATGTCCTGCTGGGCTCTGAGGTTGGCTGCGGGGACATGCTGTTTGAGCTGTCGAAGCCACTTGATGGAAGATCTAATAAAGAAAGACGCGGCAGTGGATGCCCTGACTGCCCAAGCGTCAGAATGGTGAGCGCGGTGCAGGGCCAGCTCGGCTCGTTTGTCCTCGGGCTTGAGTGCCTCGAGGGCGTCGCTAGGAGTTGAACGGGAAGCCAGGCCTACAATAGGCTCGTCCACAGGGGGGGGGGGTCTAGCAAGAGGGAGAATTGCGGGTCAAGGTTGAAGAAACGCTTGTCCTGGGTGGTGGGAGGGGGAGGGGGCCCTGAGGAGGCTAGCTGCCTGGAGACCATGTCGGAGAAGATAGGTGGAACAGGGATCACATCAGTTTCCACTACGGGCTGGGAAAAAATGGAATCGAGGGGTTCCCCCGATGCCGCTGGCTGGGATGGAGTGGGGGGGGGGTCAGGCCAGAGGTATTTTTGGCCTTAAATAGAATGGAACTAAACAGGTGCGGCTTGAAAAACCCCACAAATGCAGGCTGGTCCGGAGTGAGGCCCTCGTCCTCCAACATGTCCCCCTCCAGTGGGTCTGCTCCCGAGAAGGGCTCACTGCCAGTGATGGACCCCAAGTCAAGGTCCTCTTCTTCCCCAAAGTGGGTAGGGCCCCCGAGCTCCTGAGTCTCTATCTCCTCCATCCCCAAAGGCAAAGGCAAATCCCCGTGGGATGCTACCTGACCGTGCGAGACCTCTGATCCGCAGAATGATCGAACGGAAGGTGCCTGAACTTCAGGGGCCGTGGACCGTGGGGCCGGACCGGCCATGTGCTGGAGCTCTTGCGCTATCCCTTGCCGGATGGCCAGCTCCATCCATTGTTTCAGGTTCTCCGGAATCTCCACCGTGGGGGGTGGGTGAGGCTCCTCCGGGCGCAGGCCTGCAGCAGTGGGAGTAAAAGTGGCCTCAGGGGCCTGTCTAGGCTGTGAGGATGAGGAAGGAGCAGGGGAGGAGGGGAGAGGAGGGTGGGTGGAGGTTGAGGGAGTGGGGGCGGAAGGAGCCAGGGGCACGGAGCATAACTCTCTGGACCGCCTGTCAATTTCCTTCTCAAGTGCCCTGTGACGCCTGAGGGCATCCCTCTGGGAGGCTTTGGAAGCTTCCTGTGTTTGTTTGCGCAGGTGGTGGGATTTTGACTTGGCCTTCAAGGAAGTGCCACGAGATGTTTTGTCATCTGCCATCTGGAGAAGAGAAAAAGGATTTTGATTAATATGAGACGGTTGGCACGTCTGGATGTGGCCTACGGAAGGCTGGGGATCCCAGCGCCTGTTTCACACACCCCTTTGATCAAAATGTTTTTTTGTAAACTGCTATTAAAGCTCGGGGCCTAGCCCAGGAAACCAGTCAGCCAGAAAGTGAACGCCCATGCAGCTATCCTCTCCGGGTGGACCGGGGGGGGGATGGCAATGCTGCTACCTCGCCTGCTGGGCGGGGGGGCTGCGGAGCCAACGGACCCTTGGTGCTCTAGAAAAAACCTTTGAATAAAGGCCTGGAGGTATGAGTTGAATGTAGGCAGTCCAAGGATCTGCCTAGTGATTCAGAATTGCACGCAGCCTGCAATGAATGGCCTCTAACAATGGCGGACGGCCATGCGGCCACACTCAAAATGGCGCCGACACCTGAGCGCACCCAAGATGGCGGACGCCATGCGGCGCCCCAAAATGGCGGCCGCAAACTATTCGAGGCTACAACCAGCGGCGGAACTCTCCCAGAGCAAAGAGAGAGGCAGGGAAGGTGATTTCCCCTGAGCTAAGGGGCGTTCGTGGGGGGGAAACAGCGATCGAAGAACAAGGCAGGCAAAAACGAGGCGGCTTCGCACAGAGCGAAGAAACGGCATGCGAAGGAGGGGGGGTTGGGGGGTGGGGGGGATGCAGTGCTCGAAGCGCTAGCTTCTACCCCTGGAAAGAAGAAATAAAAACTCCCCCCTTGGAACAAGAAAGGCTCCCTTGGGAGTTCAAACCTCAAATCCACCGCGCTGCTGAAGTAAAGGGTCCAATTTCAATAAGTATAACTGAGAAAATGCTGATCAGCCAAGAGCTAAGGAACAAACAGCCTGACTACCACGAGGCTGAGCTAAAAACTGGGGAGCGCCCAGAGGACCACGTGATGGTGAGAGGCGTTCCTCAATTTCAAGCTCAGCCTGTGAGAGCCGAGACTGGAGCACCTCCCAGCCTGGACACTCGTAGCAGCTCTATGGAAAAAGGCAGCTTCTACTTTGGGTGGAATAGAACTGAGATTAGTAGAGATTGCAGAGATTAGTAAAACCCAGGTTTGGTATTCAAATTCATTTAGGGAATCCCTTTTTCATCGAGGAAACCCAGTAGCTCCTGACAGTTCTCTTACATTATCCTTTTTTACAGGAAGTACAAATTCCGCAAGTTGGTTAAAAAGATCTTAAATTGCAATCTTCTGACTGTAATATACCATAAGAATTCTGTCATGCCAACATTTTTCATCAGCTTTTCCCTCCTTACGATTTTCTGATATCAAACTTATAATTGCTTGACTACTGTGTGCCATCAATTGTTTTTGACTCCTAGTGACTATATTGCTCCATGACAATCTATCCCAGGCCTATGAAACTGGCAGCCTGTGGGCCAGATGCATCACATGCAGGCCATGCCCATCCCAGCTCCGCAAAGGCAAAAAATATGCTATGTCATGTGAGGCGATCGAGTTTGACACCCGTGATTTATCCCTAACCTGTTTTTTTAAGTCTCCCAATGGTATCCTATCACCACTGTAAATGAATCTATCCACCTTTCTGCTCTTCTTCTCTTTCCCTCCACCTTTCCGACATTACAGTTGGGTTTTTGCACAGTATGTCTGAAATAAGATAATTTGTGCCTTGTCATTTTTGCCTCAAGTGAGAACTCTAGGTGATTCATTTAATGATCCATTGGTTTGTTTTCTTTGTTGCCATGCCTTACAGCTGCTGCCAGCAGTCAGTTATATAGGGCACTGTAGAGGGTGGAAATAATGACATCATGCATGACATGTGGCATCGCTGGTAACCCACTATAATATTTATTTTTATTTAGATATTTATTTATTTCGTAATATTTACAATCCCAATGTCAAAGGAGTCCAGTACTAATAAGAAGATTGGATTCAAAGTACAAATAATACAAGAAAAAATTGTCAGACACCCAGAGTCATGTTTATGAGGTGAACAGCCATATAAATTTATTAAATGTATAAAAAAAGAAATACCTGTAATAGGCATCCAGGATAAAATTTTGGCAAAGCATTGACTGATATGTCTTGAGATTATTTAACTTCACATAGGTTCAATTTTAGGTAAGATGTTCTGTATGTAGCATTTGTCTCAAGCATTTCTAAGACAAACATCATCATCCCTCTATGTGCAATTTTATTTATCACATTTATTTGCCACTCATTTCACGATTTAAGGCAACTCTGCGATGATGAATACCAAGAGACAGTATTGAACTCAAATTGACTATTCCACCATGAACAGTTGTTCCACTAATTCTGGGTCATAAACATTCTCTTTTGTTTGTTTTAATCTTGATGTTGCATACATGCAAATTTAATTAAATGTACACTTACATTACTATGTTTTGTAGGTATGTCAATAAGAAATGAGCAGAATCAGAATTAGTTATACAAATTATCTGCCATTGTAAGGAGATTTTAGTAGTTTTGCTAATGACAACAATAATCCATAGACTTGCCAAGGGTCAGACCTGACAGAATGGCTGGTGTCAATGAGGCTAATGATAAGAATGCAGTCTAGCTAATGATAAGAATGAAAAAAATAAGGTGAAGATACCACCTGCCAACATATTGTACAATACCTGTTTACTATCGGTAGCTCAAACTGTGGGATAAATGTTTGGAAGAATTGATTATAAGTCACTGGGAAGGCAAGTACACATGGGATATAGAAAAAAAGATTGAAGCCAGTTGCTGGTTCTAAAAGAAGACAAAGCAAGTTGATTCAAAACTTTTTTTTCTTACAAGGTTCTGGAAAAAAATCCTAACAGACCAATGAGCCATAAAGAGATTCTTCAGGTTATCCAAAAAGAAGGGTTAAAAGAGATTAGGTGAGTATGAATTATTTTCCAACTGTAAATTTTGTAAGAATTGCACGTACAAATAATTAACCAAAGCAGTATATGCATTCATCTCATGTTCATTTTGTGTTGCTATACTTTCTTTCAGATGAAAGAACTTCTAGATTGAAGTTCTTTTTTTTTTGTATTTATGAAAAGACTGAATAGGGAACTAATGCTACTTGGTAACAGACAAAAAGGAATTTTGTTCATTAGCTGGAAGGCAACTTCCTGGTTGAAGTAGTATCATTTTGATGTTATGTGCCTTAAACAGTTTCTTTTCAGAGATGCTTGGGGTTGAAACTGAGCTATCAATCAGTAAATCATTAGTTTTTTCATTAAGCTTAGGAACTGGACTAAGTTAATGCTTATTCCAATTTCCTCTGAGAATTCAAGGCAACTTTTAGAAAGATCTCCCTTAATTTTATCTTAACAACCATTTTGTGAGGATGGTTAGGCTGAGAAAGGATAACAGTCTAAAATGAACTCCATAGTTTGGATAAACTGGGTGTCTTCCATTCAAATTTATGAATATAATAAAGAAATTTTTAGCAATGTAGAGATCATGTTGTAAAACTAACAACTTTTTCTCCTACTAATTATTACGAGCATTATTTTTGAGGGCAAAGAAAGTATCAGTATAAAAATATAACTTGCTTAGTAAATAAAAATTAAAATGAACTAAAAATTAGAGGAGGTAAAATCACTCATTGAAAATGATTAATGCTACTTTTTTGTGTTTAGCTTGGTTAATTTGCCTCTGATGAAGCTTTATTGCTAAGGATTTTTAAAATGTGGTTTGTTCCATTTAAAAGTCATACAGTAATGATTTAATTTAGTTAATGTTTTTGTAGATTGAAGACACATTTTTAATTTGAGATTGGATGGGGAAGAGTTACAAGATGTGGGACAGGTATACTATCTCCAGAGGGGACAAGACTAAGATTTTCAGCCCACTGTTAAAAGCAAAAAAATACTTTAAAATTTGTGGCAAGCTCTTGTGACTATGTATGATTCTGGGAAGTTCCAGACCAAGAGGGCTTGATATTGTTTATTTCTTGTTTACACGGACAAATCTCATTTAAAATATTGTTCTCATCACTCACAAGAGTTTGAGAAGGGCTTTTGGGGGGCTCCTTCTTTTCTGATATTCTGCTGCTGACTGAAGATGTTGCATTTTCCAGAGATTTGCCTTTAAAAATTATTTACTTTTTAAATGATGATTCTTGTTTTACTGGGTAAAGAGATGGAATTTATGTTTAAAATGTATTATTTATTTTGGTTATTTATTAATTGAACTAGGCTAATTCAGATGTTTCTATTTGAAATGCAAAAGAATAAAAGAAATACAGAACTTTTAAAGAAATTACAAAAAGTAATAAGAACATATTATAGTATCTTTCAGAATTTAATTGAATGAATCTATCAGTACCGTGTTTCTCACGGTCTTTTTTTGACCCCCGAAAAAACAGCTAGGTCGGCTTTTGGGGGGTGACTTAATTCCCTGCCCTTGCATCCTCGGGCGGGCGGGCAACAATGGCTTGGATGTTGACCTTGGCGTTGGTGGGGCACTTTGTATCAGGAGACCTTCCGCCACTGTTGCTTTCCCTTCTCCCCGTGCTGCTGCGGCGTTTAGAGCAACGCCACAGCATTTGGAGCATTCATGCGTGGCCAGCCAGGGCTCCTCCCTGCAACCGGAGTCCGGCAGAGACACTCGGCTTCAGGCGCTCCTGTCGCCGCTTTCCCTTCGCCTTCGAAGGCAAAGCCAATTCTTTAAAAAATGATGCCCTACTACCGGTATGACAGAGCCTCCCCTGCCCGAGAGGGCAGCCCAACCCCACGTGGGGAGGCAAATCTCCCAGGGCCACAGCGCAGGATCAGCCCACCCTGGGAGAAGTGCCCAGATGCCATCCCTGCCTGGCGCTGGGCGGAGCATGAAGAGTTTCGCCTGGGGCACCCAGCGCAGCTGACAGGCGGGCCCTCCTGCCTGATGGTGGAGCTCTCACCAAAGCAGCGAGTGCCTCCCCGTAGGGCCCTCCACTCATCCTGCTAGGGCTGCACCAGAGTCATGCGGACTGGGCAGAGCTGGGAAAGTGAGCCGCGGGTGCGCGCCCGCCTGCCAAGCGAAAGAGCCTGGCCAACCCGAGCTTGGCTTCCTTCCCAAGTCCCTCCAGCCTGAACCCGAAGGGGCCACCAGGAGAGGCTGCCCGAGGCAGTGATAGTGCCAACCCATCCGTGGACAGGGAGGCGAAGCAACAGTCTGTGCCGCATCCTCCTCCGAGCTGAGCCCCGCCGAGTGAGTGCCTCTGCCCGATGCCCGTGCTGCTGCAGCGTTTGGAGCTGCTGGCGCATTTGGAGATGCGTGGGGACAGGGATGGGCTGGGCGAGGGGTGGAAAGGTCCGGCGCCTTCGGGCCCTCTCCGCCGGACCCGCCGGTCAGGGAAGCAGTGCTGCTGTCGCTTCGCCTCCCTGTCCACGGACGGGTGGGCGCTATCATTGCCTTGGGCAGCCTCTCCTGGTGGCCCCTTCGGGTTCGGGCTGGAGGGACTTGGGAAGGAAGCCAAGCTCGGGTCGGCCTGGCTCTTTCGCTTGGCAGGCAGGCACGCACCCGCTGCTCGCTTTCCTGGCTCTGCCCAGCCCGCACGGCTCTGACGCGGCCCTGGCAGGATGAGCGGAGGGTCAGGCAGGGAGGCAAGAACTGCCTTGGCGAGAGCTCCGCCACCAGGCAGGAAGGCCTTCCTGTCAGCTGCGCTGGGCGCCCCAGGTGAAGCTTTTCGCACTCTGCCCAGTGCCAGACAGGGATGACGGCTGGATACTTCTCCTGGGGTGGGCCGATCCTGTGCTGAGGCCCCAGGAGATTTGCCTCCCCACGTGGGGTTGGGCTGCCCTCTCGGGCAGGGGAGGCTTTGTCATAGCAATAGTAGGGCGTTTTTAAAAGAATTGGCTTTGCCTTCGAAGACGAAGGGAAGGCGGTGACAGGAATACCTGAAGCCAAGTGTCTCTGCCGGGCTCCGGTTGCAGGGAGGAGCTCTGGCTGGCCACGTGTGGCTGTGCCAAACGCCGGCAGCACGAGAAGGGAAAGCAATGGTGATGGAAGGTCTCCCGATACGAAGTGCCCCACCAACCCTGAAGTCAACACAGGCAGCACCATATCTGGGTATGGAACAAAAGTACTTCCTAATGGTAAGGCCCCCACCACCACCATTCCCCCCATTTCGCATGTTTAATATAGGCCTTAATTTGGGGGGAGGAGCTTAATTTGATTTTATGCCTATAAAACATGCTGGGACTTCCTATTGGGGGAGGCCGTATTGTTGGAGAAACACGGTACTTTACAATATAAACTATTCCCTTTCTTCAGTACTTCAGTAAAAAATTGTCAGGCATGTTTTCCTTTTAAAGGAGATTGAAAAATTCTTATATGAACATTGTAGCTTAAGCTTCAGAATTGAAGTTGTCAGAAAAATAATGCAAGGATGTATCCAATAACACATAATGCTATATTTCTCCAGAATGGGTGACTTCCTGGCTTTGGTTCCAATCTGGATCAGATGCTAAAAGGAATGAAATTGTATTCAGTAGTCTCTCTTCCAAATATCAGATGCTTATCCTTGATAACTTCTGCTTTATAAGTCTCCTGTCATAGATCTTTCAAGCAATTTGTTCCTAACAAGCATGATTTCTGTGTAACGATGTGGGCTTTGTTTTGTCTAGTCACAGTAATAAATAAATAGAAATAAAACAATTTCCACCAGAAATTAGGTTCAATAAAGGGTCATGGAGTATTTTAAGTACATATATTTTTATTAAGTCATGCAACCAACTCACGAGATATGTTCTTAATTACATTGGGAGGAATATGGTTGTAAAATGAATGTGGTACATGTAATTCTCAGCTGACATCTGTAATAATGGAGCAGTTTCAGCAATATTCTTTGCTCCTACTTAGAAGTGGCATTGATTCTGCAGCCTTTTATGTTACTGGGTTTTTTTTACTTTCAGTGCAATTTGGACAGGAACGCCAAAGTAGTATCTTTTATTTATACTACCAAGACTCCCCCTTAAAACTTGCAAGGCCTGCTTGATGAATTTATCCCATTCTTGTCCCCCTTGTTCTCTATATTAATCTAAGGAAAATGTCTGGTATGAGTTGTGTGGGTGGTCATTGGAAATATATGAAAATATTGTTTTACTGATATACTTAAATTGTTTTCTTGTTTTTTCCCCTTTACCCATTCTCATTGTCTCTTTCAATTTGTTTTTGGATTTTCATCTTTTCCAGAAGGTAAGCACCACAATTAATGAATAAATTCCTTTGCACATAAGTAATGCTACATTTATTTAGCTTGCTTTGCATAGAAGCTTAGTAATAATTTCATTGCTATTAGATTTCTCGGTGTACCTAAAGCTTCTTTGTGGGAGGCCATGGCTAGCCAGATGAGGTGGGAAGGGCTGACATTTGCCAGTCGAGTCTTTGTTCTCTTTGACCTAGAATGAAAGAAGCTTAGCATTGGGCTCTTCTACTTGGATGATTTCATCTCTGATTGACTTGGCAGGGTTTTCTGAACCATCTTGTTGTTCACTCTAGGACCTTCTGAATGTTGAATTAAAATAAAGCAGAACTGGGGATCCTTTTTTGGCCCAAAGGCGGCAATCATTTAAACCCCTCCAGGGTCATGCCAGGGAGCCGTACGGAGTAAGACCATTCTCTTCCTTCTTATGCTTCCTTTCTCCCATAGCTTTTCATATAAACTGTTCCCTCCAGAGTCCCATTTCCCCCCTCTTTCCCCCCACAGAGCCTTTTTATAGCAATTTAAACTTTTTAGATGTCTGACCAGCTGTAGGAATGGAAGGAATTATTTTTCTAGAGTGGTTCCGGAGCATGAGGAATGGAGGTTTAATCTGACCTCCCTTTTATCCTTGTGCAGCAGGGATAGTTGCACAAGCATTTTATCCTTGAAATATCTTCATTGGCATCACTAACATCTTTTAAAACACTAATTGCTATATAGAGGGAGGGGCCAGATGAGATGACAAGGGAAGTCCAGTGATATACCTCTGGCTAGTGGTTTCCTATTCAGACTACTGGCATACCTACATTATGACTTTTAGCTACAATACACTTCTAGAAATATAAGATACATCCTTGACAAAGGTTGTGATTTCCACACAATGAGTTAATGAACTTACTTATGCAACCAGCAATGTGAGATATTGCTTATTGGTTTTTCAAATGCTCCCTCACATATGAAGAGAAGTCACACTGAAACCACTATCAGAAGCAGATGCATTTCCTGAGTCCATTTAGATAAGTTGTGTGCATTTATTTACTGGTAATGTGCTCTTTGCACAGTTTTTGACACAATCTTTCTGTATTCTAGTTTTAGACCAGGAATGAGCTGCCATGGCTTTTTGGGACCTGGGACCCCTTTTTAACTAGAATCCTAGAAATTGGTGGTGTGATTTTATACTGTTTGAGACAAGAAGTACATGAAAAACATTGTTTGAATCTTCAAATGCTTTAAAAAGAGAGAATAAAATACAGCTTAACACTCCAAAAGTGGGGGGGGGGGGGGGGAGGAATAAGTGCTATATCCAAATTATATACTATCACCTTCTCTTCAGCTCTCTGGTTCTTCTTAGATATGAAATATGTCCTTATTTGACAAAATGTTGCCCACTTCTGTTATAGAAACAAAGGTTTCTGTTTGTACATAAGCAAATGAAATGAACCGATCCCTCATTGGTATTATAGGCTAAGGTAAATTAAGTGAATTGTCTTGTGGGAGTAAATATTAGCCAGTGCTTTTCATATGCCTTTGGTTTCAGATTAGTCTTGTGTTTAATTTAAACCCACACTTTATGGCATATTGTGGTTACAATTTGTATATCTAGATTTCATGTTTTGAAAGCTTAATGCATTGTTCATAAATGAAAGTGATTGGTTTATGAGTGTATTAGTTGATTTTTACTGGGTGTTGAACAGTAAACAAGCACACATTGGAAGCAACTTGGAAGAGTAAAAATACTGAACGTATGAACTCACTTTATTTTGTAATGCTGCTTCTCAGCTTTATTAAGGATGCACAACACACACGGGAATTTGCAGTTGAATTAAAGGCAACTCATTTTGGGAAATATTGTGAATTTGATGTATTTTACTCTCAAACCAGCATATTTTAATGTTTTTTTAATCTTGAGTCATTCCCATAAATGTCTAAAGTTTTTTTCTTAACATTTTGGTTGTCAGAGCTGCAGAAAGTTCTAATATCTCTGCTGCATTTTTAACATATGGCTTGGCGCTTATGTTTAGGAATGTGATAGACTATGCATGAAATTACAGAGGAAATTTTTTCCTTCCTAGGAATTCTCTGAATAGCAAGAACAGTTTTCTCTTTTATAATTAACATGTGTATGAAAATTTTGTGCTATATTTTGCAGTATATGCTTGCTTATAGAGAATTTACTTGTTTAATTATATTGTCCACTGTCTCTAAAATTTCCCCCTAAGTGCCATGGACTGTAGCCAACCCTTATTTCATTTTTAAAAAATGATAATTTGCAAACACTGAAGAATTGTTTAGAAGTTAGTTGGATTTGAGCTGCACTCAAAATAAATAAAGTTGGGCAAGGTGCTTCTTGGATCATTTTTTTTTACCCTCCTGTAATGCATAGTTCCAGCAGATACAAAGTGTGATAGTTGTGCTTTGTGTCGCTGGTGGCTAATTCTTCATTTCTGTTTCCAGTGGAACTTCTCCGCTTGCATGCCTGAATGCTATGCTGCACACCAACTCCCGTGGAGATGAAGGAATATTCTATAAGGTTCCTGGAAGGATGGGGGTCTATACGTTGAAAGTAAGTGAGACTCCCACTTGAAATGTGCACCATCTTTATGATGCAGATGTTTTCAACAAATCTTCCCAAATGGGGCATAGAATAGTTTTTGAAATGGTGAGTAGTGACAATATGTGGTGTATGGATTTGGCAATGTTCCTGCATTAACCTTTATGATTGATTAGAACACAAACCAATTGTTAAACATTAATTGAAAGTCTTAATTAACTTAACAGGAAGTTCATTGAATCAAATCCATACAATCTATAGTTAGGCATTTGAGAAGCTGTTAGAAATACAAGAAACCTTCTATTGAGTTATGCCATTGATTAATTTAGTTCAATATTATTAACACTGGCAGTAGCTCTCCAGGCTTTCAGACATGGGTCTATGTTCTTGACTCAATCTAGAACTTCCACATGTTCTGTCACTAAACTAGGGTTTTTCTTTTTTTGAGAATAGACTTTCTAGTAGTGTAGCGTGTATTGATGAAGATAAAATGTATTATCATGAAGATTGTTTTCCAAGAATTATATTTTTACAAACTAAAGAAACCAAGTGAAGAAAACAGATGGAATGTTAACTATGATTGTACTAACAATTTGAGGTGTTTTGAGGTGCACAAAAGAACAGATGTGTGGCAGTCTCCATTCCTTGGAACTGTGGGAGGCATCTTTTGGGAATACTGAGAGATGTGGGCAGTCCTTTTTCGGATGGGATAGTATGAGATCTACTTTTCGTCTGGAGTGTCAAGCTAACCTATATCCATCCATGTTAAATAAAAATGGAAATTCCTCTTGAGTGTAATTCCATATGAATTCAAAGACACATTTATTTAATTATCTTGGGAGCTATATCATATTGGTTTGCTACTATCTTCTCCTTGGATTTATTTAGTTAAATTTTCCAGTCCACTTTATAGTTCTGGGATTTTCTGGAAGTCTCCCATTCAAGTACTAATCAGATCCAAATGTACTTAGTTTTCCTAGATCAACCAAAGTTAAATAGATGCCGCCACCTAAATGGTCTCATCCATATTAGTTGTCTGTAGATAAGGTCTATATCATCTTTTATAGTTGCCTTTAATTACATGATGTTCCTAGAAGAGCATGTTCCTTCATTTTTGAACTAATAGCATCAATTTGTTTTAGAATTTAATTCTCCTTTATGTTAAACTGAAATATAAAGCTACACTTTACACATTAGATTTGTCTGCCTATGGTTTGTATAATTCTTTCTCTGTTACCTCATTTGTAGAAAGATGTTCCTGATGGGCTAAAGGACTTGTCTGAAGGCTCAGAAGAAAGCAGTGATATACAATCAGATTCCCCCAGCTCAGAAAGCAGCAGTAGCAGTAGCAGTGACCAGAGTAGCAACAAGGAAGGAAGAAAAAGCAGGTGGCAAAGGAAAGGTAGATATTTTTAAAAAATGTCTTCCTCCACCTCATCTTCATAACAATGTATGCCCTTCCTCTATTGGCTTTTGTTGCAAAATCAATCAAGATGTTTTATTAACTGCAGTTGTTCCTGAATTTTGTAGCTGGTTATGCAGCAGATTAAAGCTTAAATCAAAAACTTTAACCTTAGACTATCTACTATTGACCTCGCTCCTTTCCTAAGAGGTCTGTAGTGGGCATGCATAAGCGCACAAACGTGCCTACCGTCCCTGTCCTATTGTTTCTTTTTTTTCTTATATGTATCCGTGTATTCATAACTACGTTTATATTTATACCTATTATCTTGTAAGCAATTGACAAATCAAATAATAAATAAAAAATGTCTAGTAGCTGAAATTGTAGATGAAAATTGAAGCTTTTGTGGGTTGTCCTAGTATTGCTCTACACCACTATTTCTTAAACTTTTTTCTCTCTTGAATCATTTCCCACTTTTAAAAATTATGGAAGAGCTCAAAATAACTTTATTTGCATGGGTCATATTTATTGATACTCAGTATATTTAAAATTAGAATAGATGCATTTGCCACCAAAACTGATTCTTACAATTATTTGATGGGACTTTAATACAGTATTGTATTATTTTTTTAAACATGGGCAAGCAATTTTGACTTTTCAAATCTCTGGGAGGGACTTGGGGGAACACCAAGCATGCTAGGATCAGTTTTTAAGAAATGTTACTCTAGACAGAACGTTGTAACTTTCTCTGGCCTGTTTCGTCGCTAAAATGCCAAAAGCTTATAAGCTTTGAAAGCATCTTTTCATAGGTGGGAATGATACACATAGTCCTCAACTTACTGTGACAATTGAGACCAGAATTTCCATCTCTTAACTTATGTGGTTTTAAAGTACAGTTGTATTGTTTAGCAACATCAGTCCCTGCAGTCCTGGTGGCCATCATTAATTGACTCCCACAGTCAAAGTTGAAGCCACTAGCAGTTGGTTTCTCACAACCAAAGTCAGCAAAGAAATCAGCAGGAATTTGCAAGTCCCATAGTGGCAGGCAGTTGGTTGTTGCCAGATGGAGGAGGGAGTGAGGGGTGCAGGGGAGTGTCAGGGAGGGTCATGAAGTGAGGGAGGCTCAGCAGGAGTGTGAGGTTGTATGTCATCCAGAATCACTTGGGTGAGTTGAATGACTATAGAAATTGAATAAATAAATAAGAGAAGTAGCATACAGATTGGGGAGGGTGTACAAGGTTGCAAGGAGATGTGTGCGTGGCCCAAGGTTCAGGGAAGATACATATGGGTATGAGAGGATGTGCGAGGGGTTAGCGCAAGTTAGGAAGGATGTGTGGGGATGCATGAAATGATGTGTGTGAGAGAGGTGTTGCATGGATTTCGAAGGGTGCACATGTATGAGAGGTTGTGCAAGAGACACAGGTCAGTGAGGGTATACAGGGGTGATCAAAAGGCACAGGCTAAGGTGTTCAAGGCTGTCTGGATGCATCAGAGGTTTGGGGCTGGTCAGGGAGAGGGTGAAGTGGGTGCACTAGAAGCAATAAATAGGTTGGGGAGGGTACATGGGTGTGTGAGTAGCCACAGGTGGGGAGGCTTACTCCAGTGACTTTTGACTTCCTGTAATGACCTTGAGGGATGAGGAGAAGAGATGCTCCTAGAAAATACTTGACAAGAGAGGGAGGAACTCCCAGTGGCTTAATTGTCAGAAGAAGAAATTTAGGAAAGACCCGCCGTAATTGACCTGGTGTTTAAAAGTGGTGATGGGAGATTTGAACCTTTAGACTTGCAAGATTCTCTTAATGTAGCCTTACAGTAAAGTAGAATTAGCTCATCTAATCATGTTTCCTGTCTGGTTTTACGGGGTTGGGTGGGTGGGGGACTGATATCAATTATCTAAATCTCAAGGTACAAACCACTACATAGATTCTTTTCTATTGGAAAATATGAGTATACTAGACATTGCAGAGGCTGTATGTAGACCAGTCCTATAAAAATTAAAGGCAGTATTTTGGGGCCTGGAATCTAAGTATAACATCTTTTGCAGTAGCAAGGCAATAATGCAAAGCAAGGAAGTCTGTCATTCATTTGCCTTCGGTGTTTCGTAGATAGGAAGGGATTTGATTATTAAATATTTATAATAGGAACCAAAACGTCAGATTTTAGCAGGTATGATCAGAAATGGCTCTAGTAATTACTTTAAAGAATGGATCATTAAAATTAAAAAGCCTCAGGTGACTTACTTTTTCCTAACTCAAATGAGAGACCAATTTATCCACATCACAGTTTAAGCTTTCTTCATTCAGGAATTGTCCCCTTCTGTATCATTCTGACCTCTCTTTAAAATTAGAAAGAGGAATTCCCACCCATTGATCTCAGAGTCTGAACAACTGTAGAGAGGTTTGTTGTTTATTTAACAATTTTGCAGTATATAGCCTCCCATCTCACATAATAGGACATTGGACAGTATACAGAGTTGGTCCAGATCTCAGTGCCTTTCTAGAATAAACCCCTCTCTTGCTGACACAACAGAATGTCACTTTCTAACACTAATTTTTTAATTTAACCTTTTAATTTTAAATTTAATCAACAAACAAGATTGTCTCTTTTCTCAGAACGATGATAAGCAAAGAGAGAATTAGTGGCAGACTATGTATCAAGAATATTATATATTGTACATTGTACTTTGTGGCATGTATGGCTCTAATGTGTTTTTACAGGCAGTCCTCAACTTACGACCACCATTGAGACTGAAATTTCTGTCCTGTCATAAATCATTGTAGTTGTATGTCAAGTCATACTCAATTTTACGATAATTTTTATTGTGATTGTTAAGCAAATTATCATGTTTCTGAAGTGAATTGTGCTTTTTAAGAAAATCATGTAGTCATTAAGCAAATCCAGCTTCCCCCAGTGGGCTTCCCCAACCATGGTAAGAATGGTAGCTATTTGTAATCTTGTGATCACAAGATATTGCAACCAGTCGTGAATGCAAACTGGTTGCCAAATGCCCCTGTTGTGATCATGTGATCCTGGGGATGATGCAATTGTCATAAGTGTGAGTACACATCGTAAGTCACTTTTTCCATTGTAACTTTGAACAAACAAGTCAAGGATTCCCTGTATATCCTACAGATATATGCAGCAACATATACAAAGAGCAGCTTCAAAGGAACTATAGGGTCCTATAGTGGTTTCTGAATGCCAGTAGCTTTACAACAGCTTCATCTCATGTATGTATCTCTAAGTTGAGAAGTTAATCACAAAAACTAGAGGAAGGTTGCAATACAAGATAAATAATTATTGTTGACAAAATCGTAATACATATTCTCAACGCTTCTCTATCAGGATTCTCTTTAAAAAGGAGACATATACAGTGACTTTTTGGGATGGAATATGTACTTGGAGAAGCAGTGGGGGAGAATTTTGACAACGCAGAACTTTCTCAGAGAGAGGCCTAGATTAAGAGACTATGCAGTCACAAGATCGATGGGGGGAAAGATTCAGGGCAGCCACATCCTAGAATCTCTCAAGATCTATCTAGTAGATTAGAAAGTTAATAGTTTAATTTGGTAAAATGCTGTTCATTAGGTGTAACTGTGTAAGCAAATAAAGGATTGATCTCAGTTGGTTGGGTCTAATACATTTGTACTTGGTATATATAACTGTTAAGTTGTGTTTGTCAAATATTCAATCACTCATATTGTTCATATACTGGGTTAAGAGCTGTCTTTAAGGAAAAATGATGGCACTCAAAATTTTTCATCCAATCTTGTGCCACCTTTGGAAAAAACAGTGGAAAAAAAGCATGTGCAATTTTTCCTCTAGTAAGTAGGTAGCAGTTTTTCCTGTTTTGGGCCTTCAGTGCTACTATACTTCAGCATTAATTTGCAATCCAGGCTAATGGTTCCTTTTTGCACTGATTTAAAAAAAACTGTTGAAGACTAACTTTTATTTGCTTTAAACCATAACTTCTTTCTCTCACTTAGTACAATAATAGACAATGTTTATCTCTCTAAGTGTTGCTGAATTTTAGCTCTTCTGAGTTGGAATCACATGGCCAGCCAGTGGTGAGACAAAAGGGGAATGCACTAGTTCTAAAAAATGCAAAAGGCATTTTGTTATCTAGGGAAGCTTGGTTTTGCAGAATGTATAAAATCAAGTTACTGAAAGAGTCTGTCTTGTTTCATTAAGTTTTGTACATAAAAGAATTATACAAAGAACCTATTGAGCAAATTTCTTACATTTATACTGCTGCACTGGAGTATTTTAAACACTGTGGTTGTATCTCAGTCCTATTTTGATATTTTAACTGAAGATTGTTGAAAGTACAAAGGGGATGTAATTAATACAGAAAGAAGTATCAACAGGGTACATGACTTTCAAGTTAGCATGTGGCTCTGGAGAGGATTGCTTTATTGAGTCTTGCTTCAGTTACAGATTGCTAACTGTTTTGAGGCTTGGTAATAAAATTAATGTGCCAAGTGCTCTTTTATTAGAGTGGGGTCTCTTTCAACATGTGCCAAAAAGGCCTCAAACTTACTTATGTTCTCAATAAGAGTATACTTGATAGTTTGTCTTCCCTGACCCAAGGAGCTTGCAGTTGTTAAGGGAACCATTTTACCATTCATAACTTGGAAATAGATGGAAAGTGCTGGAGGTAGAAGGAATATGCTGGATCTAATAGAGTCACATTGATTGTGTTCAATATTCCAAACACTATAGCTTCAATTGTACTGCTAAGCTATGTAGACCAATAATGGAAGTTATTGTTTCGCTGGAGTAGCTTATAAAGTTTGGTGTAATTCTTTCACTAGCAAGCACGTGCAAGAAATATATTGACGAATCATCATACAATCCAATAAAACATAATACATCCAGGACTCGAGAAATATTTTTATGCCCCTTCATACATATTTAAAATGTTCTTGGATAGATTTGGACCTCCACTATACAGCCTCCACTTGAATCCATTGTGTGAAAAGAAGTTTATAATCACTTTT